TTTACTGTCGTGTATACAAAAAACGTATGCTCTACTGACAAGCTTGAAATATGCTACAAAATCATAGGAGGAACGTAGGCTCACCGATATCAAAACAGTGCAGCAAAATACCATCAAAATTCCGCGTGTTCTGAGACTTATCTTCGAAGCCGGGCTATCATCCTGTTTCCTTCAAAACTCAGACTGGAACGCACTAGGCTGCTTGATGCGATCGTGCGTTTTTGCACTAAACTCTCAGATTGATAATATCAGGCATGACCCCTGCGCTGTAACTTATCAACTGGGCTCATACTGGCCGCGTTCTGGCCTCTTCAGGCATGCAGGAGAAAGGGGGTGGTTAGGATGAAGGTGTTGCATTGTAGGACCGAGTGGGCCTTCGGGTACATGATTACCAGTTTTTTGCATGAAGTCCGGTAGTTTTTTCGGTAAACGTTCGCTTTTTGAAATAAAAATGCAAATTTTCAGTTCACTAAAAATGACAGTCAAATCCTTTTACGAAAACTTTCGTCTTCAATCCTCATGTCCAACCTCTTGTGTCAATAGTTCAGGATAACTTTGCTTTCCCTTATTCCTCTTTGGAATACTCCGATGCCAAGCCTCATTTTCGTGGCCACCTAAGCTCTCTCAGCAGCTAGGCTTGCCTGCTGTAACAGGAATCCGGAAGAAGTCGTAAAATTCATGACCGACTTACTAACCTGGGAAACTGGAAAGCTAGGGAGCTGGAATTTTGAGAGGGTATTTCCCACTAAAATAAAGAAAATGTACGCGATTCATGTGGACGGACACGTGAAAATTTTTTGCGGGTAAATTGCATATTTTAATATTTAACTACAGCAACAACTAGCAGTTTCGGCCGAGCCGACCGTGGCCACCAGAAAACATGGTATGGAATTTTGTTGAAAAAAAAAAAATGTGAAATTTCATTCTGCGAGAATAACAAACTCTAAAGAGAGACTTACATTCGTGACGGGAAAACACCAATACGATCTTTGCCGCCTCCAGACATCGCTCTCCTCTGATATCCTGCAAAACACTCGTAGCCAACAGCGCCTGAATGTGTAGAAGCAGCAGCACATCGCAAAGCACCGCACTTGCTGCTCCAGTGCCGCAAGTACAGCGGCGCCAAAACGCCCTTCCTGTACTTTCAGCGACTGAGGAGGGGGGGGGGGCGGCATCTTCAAGAACCAAATCGTCCCTTCGAGAAAGGCGAAAAAAACATAGAAGAATAGAAGGATTTCACTTGAATGTCATGTGTTTGAAGACATTTTATGAAGCAACCTTTGTTTCATCCCTTAGCTGTATACACAGACCGAACAGTGCATGCGGGTAGGAGTGGGAATCACATCAGTACAGCCTCCCAGCCACCATGTTTTGAGAATAGTCATGTGTC